GTCAGAATCAGATTTATTACATTTGTGAGGTTTATGTTTACTTGTAATACGTTAAAAACGTAATATCTGTGACTAATGTTTCGTCATTATGATTTATTTTGCTAATTAAAATTAAATTTTTAGTTTGATCCTTGTTTGAGAGATGTGTGAAGGAAACTCGACGATGTTAATACTGTTTGTTTCTAAATGCTCTCTTTCTGACTTTTAGCAAATACGTTTTATCTATTTTCTCTTTCATTTAAAACAAATTTTAACAAAGATTTTCTAGAATCGGATAATAGCCAGCTGTTATTAACAGATAAATTAATCAATTTTTACTCCAACAATTTTTTTTTGCAAAACCAAACAATGACATTTTTCTCTTGCTTCTCATTAAAATTGTCTTATTCCTGAAACAATGTTTGTGTAGTGTATATTTGGGATAATGAATAAGTATGAAAAATCTTACAGGATTGATTTATTTTCAGTTCTTTATAAACATATTTCTGCAAGAATGGTTAGTGCGATAGGAGTAATTAAACCGCTTTTTTACTTTTGTTTGTGCTTGAAAATCGATGTTTTCTTGGCATGAAGTAAGTGAACTTCAGAGCATTAGAATGCAATGAATTGAGTTCATAAGACGGAAAGAAACTGGAAAAATGCTCCCTAATGAGAGATAATCAATCATTGCTGTCATAATCAGAAAAAATAATCTATGCATAAAAATGAAACTTACGAATTCGAGTTGTTTTCCATGTCAAAGGATTTGGCGGTGAACATAAAAGTTACAGGATTCAGATCATAATTCTCTTATCATATTATTCGCATATTATTAGAATATTTTGTTCTTTTTATATTTCTAGAATTGAGACCACTCGAAACTTTTGCTTTATTGCACAAAATTTTGTTTGCTCTAGTTAACAGAGAATATTACAAAAAAAAATCGCTTTATGACATGTATCTAAAAGTTTCGCATACATAAAAAATCATTCAACATTTCTCTTTGTTCATTTATTCATTCACCAATAGCAATAGCATATTTTGAAAACTCAAATTAATTCGGAATGTTATAAATAAAACCGTTGAAAATTTACATAATAAAGAAAAACAAGCGTGCAGAATAAATACTTATTTAATTTATTACGCAAACAAAAAGTTGCTTTATTAAAAAACTGTCGTATAATTTATATTTATAAAATCTTATAATAATTTATGCTTATTACTCAATAAATTAATTACTGATTATTAATATTTAATACATATTGAAGACTTTATTGTGAAAATAAGAATTTGGGAAATAAAATTTTTATTTTCCCTGTAATTTGTAGTTAAATAATACACAATGCTCTGACCAAAAATAAAAATCTAAAACATGTAATTTGTTACTGAAATCTGCTGAGAAATTATTAAAAATATTGGTATACATTTACTATACCAATGGTCAACCTAGTTTGAGATCACTAGATATATAAAAAGCCTTCGAATTCACTAATTTATATATTTCTGCCACTCTTAGCTGCTGTATTTTATAAATTACATACTGGTTATATTAGGTTAGGTTATCTGAATATTGCAAAACACACAAGGGCTGTCTTCCTAAAGAAAAATTGTCTTCGGAGAAGCTTTTATATAGGAAACTAGCTCATATTCACAGTATGCAAGTGAAATGCTCATGCAGCGAAAAATGCTTATGTAGCCTGCACATTACCCTGGAATCGAACCCAGGTTGAACTATCAATATTCAATGGTCTAATCACTCGTTAACTTGTAGGTCACTCGTTCACAAATTATATACCGAAATATGAGTACTGCTGATTAAAGAAACTAAACTGAAAATTTAGTCATAGAATAATTCACTTCCTATATTTCTTTCTAAACAGTAGTCATTTTACTGTAGTCATGTACGTGTCAATTTGATGACCAATAGGACTGACTAATAGGACTTCCATACTTGGTGAAACTGAAAATATTAATGTTATCTCTATAGCTAAAAGTTACTTAGCCATCACTGAAAAATACAAGAATACATAACTAAAACGTCTACAACAAACAATAAAATATAATAATAGTTATAAACAGTGGCTGATATATTCCAGATAAGGAACAGATACACAAAATACCTTAAAATTTAATTACTTTGCTCCTATATTATTGGCCTACGAAAATTATTAAGGATACAGAAAATTAAACCCCTTTTTTAGTGATAATGTTTCTAACATGAAATAAAATATACATCATAAAGAAGAAACATTTTTCGATCAAATGAATTTTTTTCCAGCGTCTTCTTTTAGATTTAATACCATCAACCTTAAAAGTCCATTGGACCAAAATAATCAATCTTAAAAAAGTTTAAAAAGGACTACAGATTTTGAATCTTTTAGATTTTGCAAAAACACATGACGGCTATCTTCTAAAGCGTGGTTCTATCGTGGACTGCCTTCTGCGGTAAACTGGCTTATTTTCACATTACACATGGAAAAACTACAAAAAACGCAAGCGTATAAGCAACCTCAGTCGACGTGCTAGTGTTTAGAAGTCTTATCCACGTATCATGGTGAGTATCATTAATTAAAATGAATAACTATATTTAAGAAATAAGTTGCGAGACATAACTAAAGATTTAATTGAGAACAAAATGTTAATCGACGTGAAATACTTTGACCATACAGGCATTAAATTTATTACATAATCTCACGCATATAACATGAATAATATCTGTAAGAATACTGTTCTTGTTATCCACTGTTTGTCAGAATCAAAGGATACTGGCAGAAGTAAAGCTTAACTAACTTACTAAAAATGATTAAAAACAATTTGTACAAAATATTTATTTATGAAGTTTTTACGATATTTATCAGTTGAATAGTCTCAAAATATTGAATTTATTCAATATATTATACATCATTTTGCATTAACTCAAATTTATGGAACATGATTGATGCAGTTCTTTAATATAAGGTATGGTCATCTTTAACACAAATGCAGAACGTGCACCTTGATTTAATAGAATTAATCAAATTCATCACTTCATGAGGATGTCTTCGGTATTGCAGTATTCTGATAACAGAAGTGCTCTTTGCTGATAATTATTGTCATCCAATAGCAAAAGCTCTGGCCATAAAGCAACCCTAAAGAGCTTTATATAGAGTTTTAAATCCTCCTCTATTCACCTGGTTGTAGAACCTTCCTCAAAGATATGTAGTTCGACGCGGCGGTTTTGATGATTGCACCCCAAACTCTGAAACTACATCTTTCAAAACGGAGGCTTTTCTGAACCAGGTTGCTTGTAGCGTTTTCCTTACTCCCTCCAAATAAAGATACGTCTGAACGTTCCGGCTACATCTGAACTCAGCAAAGAATATCGGGTCTCTCTGTTCTTAGGTCCATTAAAAAGTGAGGCGTAACCTCCTATACCGACCATGTTAAATTGGTTTTTTTATGTACCTTTTTCTCAAAATCTGTTACAAATACAGTTGTGAAATTTTTTATGTAATTTAAGTACACTTTTCTAATATACTGAAAAAAGCGTTTGAAACATTTTGAGTTTTAGAATAATTTATAGACAATTGCGTTAGCATAGTAAAATTTAGCATTTCTTTCACGAAAAAAAATTTGTAAAAGTTTTTTTTCTTAGTTTATTACATAAAGCTCATTTTAGTAAACATTAAAAACATATTAAGTAAGCCATAAAAAATTTACATACCGGTAAGCAATATATCTCGAGGAAAGGTACATCGAGTATGAAAAAATCACATTTGGAGAAAAGCGCATTTTTAATGTAAAAAACTCACTTGTCAAAATATTCAAAGATAAATTGAAACTAGATGTTTTACAGTTCAAATTTTATAGAGTTTAAAGAATGGTATTTTCAGAAAGACATAAGGGTGGAGAATTTGGAAATGCAAAAATCTCAAATCACAATTTTTTGAAGATTTTTGGCTTCCAACACCTTTTATCGTCATGATAACACCTTAAACATTCCCCTCTCTATGAGAGATGAAGTGAATGGCAGACAAATCGTTAGTCCTTTTTTCCCATAACGTCCGAATTCATGAATCTTCACGAAGTAGTAGAACTGTTGATTCGAGTTCCTGTTACAGTCTCAAGATCTAAAACTAACTCTCTGGTAGTCGCTTCACGTTTTCTTCGAACCACCGATGACAGAAACGTACCTTCTAATGTAACTATTGGTCTTAGCCTTGAACAGCTGTCTGTTAATTTATTCACTACTTAAAAAGCGGTTTTCGAGTTTGAATATGACACTCTGAAGGATATTCAGATGTCTCAAATCCCCCACCTGTCGTTTCTCCTATTAAACGTCATAGTTGTTCTTTAATTTATTATTAATCTGCACAGAGTTCTTTTCCTTAGGTTATAAGGTATTCTCTCCCTCCTTCTATCATGCCTTCACAGTGTAAAGGTAGCACCCTCGGGGCGTTTCAAGTCCGGCGAGGGCATTGTTTATTTTTCACGTACAGGTGGTGGACGATAATTCTTCTCACCAAGATTTGGCGATTGGGTTCCCTTATCTCCCGTCGCCCTTTAAAAGGAGATTTTATAAGGTATTTTCTCTCTCCTTTTAGCATGCTTTTGCGATGTAACGGTAGCACATTCCGAGCATATTCGAGAGGTCCAGGTTCGAGGTCGGAGAGAGCAAGGCTCATTTTTCAATCACTACTCCTTCAAAATACCCTAATGACTCTACAAGGTAATTCTTTTATTAACGTCTAATTAGTTATTCATTTAAAAAACTAACATTTTAAAGTTGCTTTTAGAATGCGCTTCAGATATCCGTAATTTTTACTCGACCCTTACTTTCAAAGTTCTTGCTCTATCACCTGTTTTAATATATATATATAAATTTCAAATTTCAGCATAATTTTAACTACATATTTAAAAACATAACTATTGTTTAATCTAACAATTGCATTCTCATTTAAGCTAACAGAGTACAAAATGTTTTCCTAGGTAAAAACTGTAAACAGAATTTTGAATTGGTTTACACAAAAGAGAATACTCACAATGAACCGTCAAAGTTTTAGAATCTTCAATCAAGCTATGTTGCAAGGATGGGTTTTCGGCGGTGCACGTGAATTTCTTTCCGTGATCATCTGCAGTGGGGACAAAGGAGTAGGTACTGAGAGTTAGATTTCCGTTGTCGGATATTACTTCATTTCCGGTCTGGATCTTCTGTTTGCCTTTCCACCATGTAATTAGAGCTCCTGGCCTGGATCCGGTAGATTCACATTCCAGCATCACTCGTTTCCCAGCAGAGAGGTGATGGTGAGGACTAATAAGTCGGACATCTAGGGGTTTCACTGAAAAGAATAAAGCACAATAATTGAGCAATAAATGGCATAATTAATGTAATAAATCACATAGTTCAAAAGATAATAGTTTTAAAGAAGTCTGACCAGCGTTATTGATTTTACGAATGGAAAACATCGGAGATTAAAAAATAGTAAATATTTTAGCATTTATTGGTGTCAATTGTTACCTCGATAAGGACTTAGATTACGAAAAATAAGTATTTCTACATTTTCCTATTTATTTCTATACACATATTTTTATATAATTCATACAAAATTTCAAGTCTAAATGTAGATTTCCAAATGATTCAAGTGACACGAAGGAAAAAGAAGTATATTGTTGCCAAATATATTGTGGTAAGATAAGCTATACTGTTGCGTTTTTCTTTTTTTCTGACACCAGTTGTTACGTTATTTTCTTCCTTTACGTTCGTACGGGGTTTGTATGGATTTGGAGTGAATAATGACGACACTACTTGATGAAGTATCGAAGCACACTTTATTAGCCAGTATTGTCAGTATTTATGAACTGCTATAAATGCTATAAACACGCTGACACTATCAGCGACACAGCCTTCAGGTTATCAGGCTATCACGATGGAGATAGCTTCACTGCAAAGCACCAAAGTAGAGCTCCCCCGACTCTGCTTGGTCGTTATCGGAATCCACGTACTCTCGAGACTCTTCACGCTACAACTAATGCACTCGACGACACACAGAGCACGGCTCCCGACTCATCATCTCCGGGAACGATTCAGTCGTTCCCGGAGCTCAACACGCTCTCTCGACGATGCACTAAGACACTCTTTCGGTGCACTCGACAACGCGCTCGGCACTCGCTGCCCGACTGTCAACTCGATCGACTCTGCAGGGACTCGCTAGACGAGACACCAACTCGATACTAACTAACTCGCACTCTAGACGAGGCACTCTCTATCAGCTCGCTAGGCGAGGCACACACTTTAACTGACTGCGGACCAGTAGGGTTTATATAGCTTTCGGCTTGTGTTCGAAAACATTCGGGGCTAAACCGGTAAGAATTCGTTCCAGAAGGTTCTCCATCCGTCCGGGGTATATCACCAATTTTGTCGCCAAATGGGCGATTTCTCGCCAAATGTGGCAACTCTAAAACTGCTTTGCGGGGAAGCCATCTTACCGCGCCAGTAAATTTCGTAACAATATACATATACAGGTTAGCAAAATAAGTATGGCATCACTCGGTATTGGAAACGGTACAGTTATTGGGAAACGGTAAGTTCAGTAATTATTTTTTTTTAAACTAAGTATTACATTATTAAATTTCAACGCGTGCTGTCTTTGTAGCTTGAAAAAAGTCAAATTGATATTCCAATTCTCGCAACATTTACTTTATATCACTTCATACAACGTGTGTTATTCTTGCCCTAAAAGTATTAAAATCACGAACTAATAGTCAGCACCTGCTATTTCCTTTGACAGATGTCCGACAGATTCAACAAAACCATCACCCACCGTAAGCCCACCGCATCTTCGAAAGTTACATACTACTAATTTTCTTAAAACATTTCATAACATTTGGGAGACTGCATATATATATATATCTGTAATATTTTGGCAGGCAGGTACATGAATGACAAAGCTTGACGATATAACTATATGAGAGTCCGGGCATTGTTGTAGCTGAGTAGAAGGCGGCAGAATGATGACAACGAAGACTATAGTTTTTAGATTTCACACCTTTATTCAATTCTCGCTGCATATCATATTTCCTTTAGACGAAATTCTCCAAATTACATAATCAATAGTGATTTAAACTAAATAAGATTGAATTTAGACTGTCTACGTCATAACTGTTCTAACTAATGGAAGACAGATGGGAAAAGCATCAGCAAAGTCTGGTAACAGCAGGAGGAGAAAGCAGTCTGATGAAAAATGGCGCGTACTCGGTACTTATACTAGCGGTTATATAACATGCCAGAATGTGCTCGAAAGTACTGATCTAGGGGAAAGTCCTAAAATTGCAGAAAGTTAATTATAGGTTGCCTGTTCGCGCAGAGCAAAGCCATCGTATTTTTTATATTTTACATATATATATATATAGAATGTTTTATGAAATAAGTTTTTATTTAGAACATATAAAATCATTATTGAACTTAGTTTCTCCAAATCTTTGCTTGCCTTCGTTGTGTAATAGGATAGCACGTTCGGCTAACACCTAGCTGTGGAAGTCCAGTAATCGAACCCCCGGTGAAGGATTCGTAAATTTTTCAAGTTTCCTGTATTAATATAACCTAATGACTCCACAAGCTAAAAGCAGAAAAATAATTCAACATGTACTATTTTCGGGAGTAAGAGGTGAAATAATTCTGTTTACAAAATTCATCTACAACTTTCTATCACGATTAAAAAAATTTTGGGGCTCTTTTAATAAATTTTTAAAATGAATTGCAATGCAATTCGATTAACCCGGTGGAAGGCGCGCGCTAAACAGAGCACATTTTGGTCGCGCGGGGTACCTGTATAACCCCACCGATAATTTAAGCTTAATTCAATATACACATATAAACTTAAGTGAAAATAAATTGAAAAGGTATAAAATACAGTTTTTTAGTATATTCTAAAGCATGAATATTAATTTGAAAATATATTTACGTTAATTCTACTACTAATGTTTATAGGAAAAAACTTACTCAATTACAAAATAAAATCAGTTACATACCTTTATTGAATTTTAAACACATTTGTCACAAACATAATTAGAGTGATCCTTGCAAGTAAAATTTTGGCATTTCATACAAGAAATTGTTGTTTTTTTGTCCTTAGCTCGAGGACATATTGTACATCGTCCTTTACCAAGCTTCATTCTCTTTGGCAAGTTCTCTTCAGAAACGGCATTCCTTTCTGTTGAGAAATTCTGATTCATTTTCTCTCGTAATTCTCTGGGTAACATTTGCATATTTGATCTCCTCTTTATTTGTGGGTTTACGAGAGATAATGCCAATGTTTTCAAAAACATTCGTCTACTTTTATACTGCAAGGGAGGATTTTTAGTAGACATAAGTGACACTCGCGCGTTTATACCAGCCACGTTCAAAACACAGTAAAAAATCACCATAGGCCACCTGTTTGTTTTCCTAGCTGTTGAATAAAGCGTAGACATTTCATCAACAGTATCTACTCCTCCTTTCGTTCCATTGTAGAAATGGATTATTCTGGCTTACTTTGTTCAGAGTTTTCATCTATCGTGTCATCATGATGCATTGTAGACAGAAGAACTACACATTTCGATTTCTTGGAACATATGATACTAATGTCATGTCTTTTTGGAATCCAAACATGGAAGAATATACTTCTCTTTTCTTTGTTTCTAAAAATTCAGCAGGAATTACAGCTTTATTTTTCTTCAAAGTTCCCACTACAGTGAGTTTCTTTGATAGGAGCTCTTTTGCTAGCGGGTAACTTGTATACCAATTATCCATGGTTATATTCCTCCCAGATCCAAATAATGGAGCACAAAGTCGTTTTACGATCTCAGATGGCGAATAATCAACTTTGAAAGGACCATCCGATTGTTTCCCCGCATAAATTTCCATATTATATGTATAATATGTCCTGGCATCGACTACGGCAAATAATTTAATTCCATATTTTGCCGGCTTTTTCGGCATATACTGGCGAAAAGCACATCGGCCACGAAATTTCTCCAACTTTTCATCTATTGTAACATATTCACTAACTGAATATATTTCTTGACATTTTTTATTGAAATCGCTGAAGAAATCTCTCACAGCTGCCAGCTTATCCAACTGTCTTCGAGCTTCGCGATCGTTTACATTGTCTAATCTCAAGCACCTTAGAAGAAAAGTGAATCGTTTGTAAGACATTGTCTTTCGGAATAATTCAATTCCGGTGCCATCAGCGTCCACAAGTCTTTTGCATTAGCATGAGAAGATTTATGCAATCCGCATAAATATAAAAGACCAAACAGTGCTCTCATCTCCACTTCATCTGTATGCCTAGCATCTCGACTCCGTTGAAATTTTCGGATTTTTTATCAATAAAAATATTGGTGCAGTCCACAATATTTTTTATAATATTGAAATCCATAAAAAGTTCCCAACTTTCAATTGGTTCCATAATACTTATTGCAACTGATTTCAGACCTGGTAAGTGGGTTATAATATTACAGGAACTGGTTCTTACCTCTGATTTTCCTTATTTGCGGCCCTCTTCAGCACTTTCATCGCTGCTCTGAGTACCAAACCGCACTATCACATATGGGCCACCACTATTTCAAGCTGCCAAACACGTTGTACCAATTGTACGATAATCACGGCGTTAAGTGTAACCTAAAATCTTCGGCTAAATGATTTTGGTAAACAGTTCTACAACATGTTCGTCATCTAGTCAAACGGAAATGAATATTAGTAATTTTTATCTTTTTTAAGCTCTTTTTGTAATAGCGGTAGAGCTGTAGTCCAAGATATTGTGCTTAGGAATAAATTAATTTCTTTTATGGCAGAAAATATTACTTTCTTTCTTTCGTTTTGAAATACTATTGTAATTCAATTTTTAGCAAGTTCTATAATTGCATGGTAAGTACTTTTCTGTTAAAGAAGACAAAAAGGTGAACTTAACACAAAACTTCTTTTGCTCTGCTATGAAGTGGATGACATATACTTATCAATGTCCCTTACCATCTTTTAGATCATACTTTTGCTTTAAATGCTTTGTATTTGTAGTACTAAAAAGATTTTAAAAGACTGTAAGTAGCCACTGATCTTTTAGCATTTGTCATTAAATAGGCAGAAATAGTATGGGGATCAAATAGTTGAAGTACACCGGATGGATTCAATGACAGGACACATCTTAATTTATTATATATTGCTCACAGTTACAGTTTAACTCTATTGAGACCAAAACGTAATTTTTTTATCAAGTCATTTAATTCAAGAATATTCCTTTAATTAGAAATTCAATAATTTCGTCTAATACTAAAATTATGTGAAGGTGTTTGCCCTAAACTAAGT